AATTTATTATTATTGCATTAATTCATATTGTTCAGTTTTTGGCATTGATGTACCTTACATAGAGTCTTATAGCATTCAGCTTTTGTCATGCAGCTGGTCTAGCTCAAGTTTTAAGTTTTCTTTTTGTCACATTCATTAGAAGCGTTGGCCCACAGTTTCAGAGGCATTCATGGGGCTATGCTTTTTTTCTGAACGAGTAAGTTATGATTAATATTTCCACAAGCTTTAATAATGCACCCTCCATCGAGTCTTGTAGCATTAAGCGTTTGTCATGCAGATGCCTTAATTACATCTATGTATATCTTTATAGAATTTCGGTTTTTATTATAATTATTATTTTATTTAATTATTGTTGTATTTAATCATTTTTTGTTTTGTGTAATGTGTATCGCCTTTAAAACCTATAAAATGTTTCATTCCTGATAGAACTTCTGAGAACATTCGTGGGAATATTAAATTGTATATAAAGTGCATCGAATTGATATCATTAAAAATGTTTCATATCGGTAACAATGACTTGTACTCTGTCTAAAAGGTTCTTCAGTTGACTGGTATTCAATTTCATTTCTCAGTTCTACTCTCTTCCATTACTATTTACAGAGTATATTTTCGATGATATGCTAAAGATCTGAGGTGTACGTTGCTTTAAAGCAATGCAAACAAATTTAAGGCACAATACGCTCACATTATTGTTCACCTTCAGTTTTCACACTTTGGTCGAAACGCGAGCAAGCGATTTAAGCTGTCGTGTTGCCAGACAGAGTTGAAATATGAAATCGGTCAGCTGTAGTATTCTAATGATAATTAATTTTAATTCGAGCTATGAGCACCGGCTTAGCACGTTCTTGCCAACTCAAGAGAGCGAAAGAGCTATGTGAGAAATATAGAGAAAATAGAGCGAATTTGAAATATCTTTAGAAATTAAATCTCAGATGAAGCAAAATATATTTGGCCGAAATATATTTGAAGCAAAATATATTTTTGCGTATAGAAAAGGATTATATTGTATTATATATGCTTTTTAAATTGTATAACATCAACACTACATAAATAAACCATTATAACATAATTTAACATTTTCATAACGGGAAAGACATGAAAAAATAAAATTATGCCAACTACGAATGTTCAATGTTGCTGGGCCCAAAAATCTGTATTTTTATAAAAAGAGATTAAAGACTTTATGAGCATAAATCTTAAAAGTTTGTCAGTTTCGACTTATCAATACAATTGCTCGATTCGCAATTCTAAGAGCGAAAACTGTTTTTGTTTTTGATACTTACGATACAAGACCTTCTTTGCTTTTGCTATACAAGTCCATAAGTCTAAGGTCAACGCCCTACTTTTGTATGGTTTTAGTAAACCCCAACTCTGACTCGCTTTTCACAAATTAGCAAGCTAATAAATGAATGTTACAGCTGAGGGTTTCTGTTTCAGTTTCTCTCAAATTTTGCTTTCAGCATTCCAGCATTCCTGCTCTCCATGTATCCTAGCACAATCGAAATTCTTTTAGTTTTGATTTTGCTAATTTGAAAAAATTTGTTAAATGGCATTTTCATGGTGCGCAACAGCTAAACGCCGCACATAAATCACAACAAATGCGACAGTTTTCCACTCTCTCTCCGTCTCTCTCGCTCCCGCCAACTTTTAAATATAGCTGAACCGCAATATAAACAGCATTTGGATTGTTGGCCAACAACTGTGACTGCGATTGCCGTCAGAGTCCCGTTTCAAATAAAACTCACGCTGTCAAGGCATTTGGATAAACATTTAGTCCGCGGCTAATTATGAATAATTAATTGCTCGCATTTCGGCAATCCAATACTGGAAAGCCCTTGCGGGCCTCGCATACCTCAAGTGAGCTGCTGCTGTGCGTCGCTTTACGTTAATTATTTGAAAACATTTCATGCAACACCTTCGCTTTCGTCGCAGCGGCTGCTCCATTCGCCTAGTCCGAACGCGGTTTAGCAATTAGCGAGAATCCCAGCTGAATGCCGTCGTTTCTCTCTGCGCTCTCGTTGCCTCATTTAGAGTCTCAGTCTTAGTGCCAGCTGCTGCTGCTGCTGCTGCTGTTGCAGGTGTTAATTGCTAAAAGCAAATCTATTTATCATAATTACGTTGATAAACACGAGCTCAACTTTGTGTGCTCACCTTTATGTCACTGCCACGAACTTGAAATCCATTTAAAAGCACAGATTTAGTTACAGATTATTTTCTCTTCTCGCTCTCTCTCTCTGTGTTTCTTCCTCACTCTCTGCTCAGTTTTATTTTAATTTGCTGCGTTTATAAAAACATTAAAAGGCTTTTCTCGTTTGGCTGTGCCGGAACTCCTAATTTGGGTCTGCAATAAATTTAAAATAGGTTTTCAAATGTAAATTAAAATAGCATTTAATCTGTGCCTTTCACATTCCCATTGAAACGAAATTAATTACAAAGCTCCTATTGTTTTAGAGTTAGTATTAATAATTGTTCTCGTTCTCATTTCCACTGTTGCGCTTCTCTAAAGTTAGACGTAAATATATCGTCTGTATATGAGCGAAAATATGATAAGGTTCGCTTAAAATTTTAATAGAGAGTGAAAGTTTATATACGGTGAAATGTCTTTGTATTTAATTTATATATTGGGAAGCATCAGAGCATCTTATTTACAATCTCAGCATTAGATTATATAATATGTACATTAATTTAATGCCTGAAGGCCTTTGTTGCTCTGGCTTAAAACATGTTATTTAGAATTAATTCTTTGTAACAATAAATAAACAAATACAATAATTTAAACTTTTATTTGGAGTAGGTTAATTAAGGAATTGTTAGTTACACTCTTTGTAGCGGACATATTTGCGTATTTTTATACTTGCGTATATTAATGCTAACTGTAATTATTCAATTTCCAACATTTTCCAATAAGACTTAACAGTTTAAAGCTTTAAAGAAAAAAAAAAAACGAATAAATAATCATAAATTAAATAATACATATATAAAAAATTATTGCATATAAAATATTTCAAATATTCAAATGTCTGATTTATGTGTAAAATTATAACAATATTGTAAAGACAGCTAAAGGATAATTATCTCAGCATTTGTTGCATTGAAGACTCGAACTGTTTTATGCAAATAAAATTAAGCAAATCTTAAATCATGTTTAGTATAAACATGAGAGTCTAAAAACAATTTCTTGCCATGCACATATATGCTTAAATTTGTCTTCTTTTTCTTTATTTATTTATTTATTTTTTATTTAAAACCAGACTCCAGCCTCATTTTTCAGTCTTATCAACTGCAGCGTTTTGCTTGCTGCTCTTCCAAGGGAAAAATTTTATTATTATTATTAAAGAGGATAATTTAAACAAGTTTCTCTGCTTGAATAACATTATTGTCAGATTCAATTGTAATTTCTTTCATCTACCTTTGATATAGTTTTCAGCTCTTAGGTATATTTTATTTCCTATATGTGTCATTATTGGATGATTCTTAAATTTTGAAAAGCTAACAAATTAGGTTTCCAGTTACGCATTGAAATGTCCTTCTCTTGCATACATTCGCAATGCACACAAATATTATTTATTTAATATTGAACAATTGACGAACTTAACTTTTCGATGTTTGATTTGTGTTGGCAAAGTTACGTGAATATTTCATTGAATAATATTTGTCAACTATAAACAATTTGTTTTTTATTTACTCTGCCTCGTTGAAATGTGACAGTGACCTGGCTTCTCCCTCAAAAATAACGAACAACCAACTGAAAAGTCAAACAAAGAATTCTCAACTGCAAACAGGAAAAGGGAAAACAATTTCTGTTATATCGTATAAATGTATTTGCTTGGTTTGCGATAATCGATGTAAGCCAAACTCAAATACGTCGCACTGAAACTTTTAACTGAATTGACAGCCAAACATTAACAACAACAACAACAACAATAAATGAACAGCAAACGAGCAGAGCAAATTGGTATAAAAAAGCATGACAAATGCAATTTTGTGGAGCGATTTGTATCTGATGTTCATAGCACTTAGCGCAAGCATCAATCCAATTTCCGAATACATCAAACATTTGTCACTCAATCAGCAGCAAAACGGACCAAATTAGACAAATCACACACACACACACATGCGCACACACACACACACACATCTAAACAGTGGTCAACTTTACAAAATCAAAGTCAATTAAATTTAGAGAGGCGAAATCGAAGCATATGATTGATGGACACACATTGGCCAAC